ATTCCTGGAGCTTTGCCCTAAGTATCATAGGGATTGCACCTTTTTTTGCCCACAACGTCTGGCACCCGTAAAGCCAATGTGCTGATTAGGAGGCTATTTTCTGTACCCTAAATTGCAAAAGAGATTGTGACATTTGTGCCCAAATTGTGGGGCCAAGGAGTGTCGGCTGTAAGCCAGTCCGACGGAGAAGACCTCACGGAAGCACTGAAGACAACGGTGAAGAAATGCCAGCAGGACTTGGGCCTTCGTTTCAGCATTTTGGTCATGAAGTACATGTATCCCAGTTTTTGAGCGAACCTTCTGGATCTCTGTGTTTTGCCGATCGAAGATCCTGGTAGGATCCTTGTTTTGACCAGTAAGGCATAGAAGAGATGGAGGAGATTCGCACGTACATCTTGAAAGGCAGCTGCTGGGAGGGTGGCAAAGTGCGCCAGTCCGCACAACACGACCCTCGTTTCCTGTGCAAGATGACCCACACTTCCTAGTTGTATAGATGTCACTTGGCAGCTGGGTGGGTTAGCGATGATGGGGTCCTAGGCCCTGAATGCACACCTTCCCTGCAGGTTGAGCCCATGGCGCGGGGGGGCCGAGATCGGCCGAGGAAGAGAGAGAGACCGCGAAAACCATCCCGAGCGCTCGAGACGTGGATCGAGACGTTGAAGGGCTTTTGAGCTTGGGCGCCGGGTTTTGTTGGCACTTTCCAGGAGCGTCAAGCATTCTTGGAGTGTTCCGAGGGTTGGGGCCAAGCGCTGGGCATTTGCGCATGGTGCAGGATAGACTCCTCATGATTTTTTGTTTCGACATGTGCTGAAGCATCAGAGCAAAGTTGACTTGCAAGGCAGAGAGAGACATCGTTGGAACTAGATTGCCTGTGCACTTCTCAGCTAATTTGCCGTGGTAGTTTAAGTGCTGCTCAAACTTCAGCCTTCCCAAAGTGGACAATTGATCTCAGAGCCATGAGGGCTTTTGCTTGCCTCCTGGCCTTCTCCCTGGCCACTCCCTTTCTGGCGAAGCTCCAGGAAGAGCGATCTCCCTTGTGTGAGCAAGGTGAGTGTGATGAGGTACAACTCTTGCAGGCCGAGAAGCTCCAGCAGCTCCGCGCCAGCACGGGTGCTCCCAGCTCCATGGCAAGCGCGGCGCTGGAGGTGGTGCCTGGGTTGCACGGGTGGACATCAAAGAAGAGCTGAGCGGTCTAGCTGGACCCAAAACGTTTGGTACCGTCGGTACCGCTAAAAGTGTATCCAGTCGACATGAGTATATATATATATATCTTATAAATGAAACCATACTTTCTGTTTTAGAGCCATGTTCCATTCTCGTGGCACTTTCCACTGAAAGAGCCACTGAGGTGTGGCAGGTCCTGACCAGCGCAGCGGGCTGGTGGTTGCTTGCGCTGAGCTGCCCTGAAGTTTTTTCATATTTCTGTTTTGCCTCCAAAAAATATGGAAGCGGACAACCACCTGTGTAACAGGATGCTTTCTTTTTCTCCAGGGGCCAGGACGTCCACTTTCATGATTGTTGGAGAGAGGGTACAGTAGTGTCTTTTTTTCTGTCTTTTTTCCTGGGACCCAGCAAGACCTGACATCAACCCGAAGTGCTTTTGCATCTTCACTGGAACCAGTCTTATGGCTGTTGACCCAAAGTGGAGATTGGAAACATTTTCAAGCGGACCACCAAGATGGTAAATAACATCTGTAGGGATGCCATGACCAGGCAGAGGTGTCTCAACCTAACCCCACCAAACCGAGATCCGTCATTTTTGCCAGAAGAGTCCTTTTCTTTCTCCTCAAGATCCACCCCGACCCCAAGGTGCCATGTTTCTTCCTCCACAGCAGCACCAAGAGCCACGTGCCCCACCCCCCCAGCCGCCGCTCTCCCCTCGATCCGTTTGGGCTTCCCCCGTTGGGGTTCGGCTCCCCCGTCAAGTTGCCGTTGCGAAGCTCCAGGATGCAGAGGCACGACCTGGGCGCCCGCGTGGACCTGCGCCCCATGCAGCGGCAGTTCCCCTACGTCCCCGCCGAGGGGCGGCAGTTCTGGATGTACGCCACCGCGACCACGTGCCCCGTGGAGGTTTTGGAGCAGTGGCCGAAGGGCTTTGACAACCCGGATTGCGAGAAGTTCGCGCCCGGGGAGAACAAGGTGAGCGTCTTCGTTGACAGCACAAGGCCCAGTATTCAGGCTCTGAAGTGGCTCGGCAAGGTGATTCCGCTGCTGGAAGAGGCCAAATGGTACCAAGGTCTCATCAAGGGACTCGAACGGTGGACGGTGGGCAACCACAAGGGCTTTGTTGCGACGGATGACACCCTGAAAGCCATCATTGTCTCCGTGTCGGGGACTGGTATGGTGACGAATCTGGGCTTTTTTGCAGACGTCTTGGCGGATACCAACGCCAACTCGTTGTATGGATTGGAATGCCCAATTCTCCAGATCCAAAAGAAACTCAAGTTCGTGCCATACATCAAGAAATTGCCTGGCTTGTATCACCGTGGTTTCTGCTGGTTCTATAACATGATGGTTCTCTACACCAGCTACCAGACGGATCTGATCACGGCCGTGAAGGCCAACCCTAGCTATGATGTGATCTTTGCTGGCCACTCTTTGGGAGGCTTGTGAGAGCACCAGGGAACTGTGGGAGATATGGGTGTGTAGTTTGCTCGGGAGACAGCAAACCAATGGGTTGATTTTGCTTCTGGCAGGGTCTTTGGGAGGTCATCTGATACATGATTATGAGGTCCAGGCCAGTTTAGAGCAGTTCCATGTTTGAAAGAATTGACTTTGTTTTCACCTGCTGGTTCTGCTCAGCAGTCTTCTCAGACTCTTCTTGCTGGAGCAAAAGGGCTGTGATCAGACTACTTGATGTACTTCCACATTTCACGTATACTCATCCTTACAATCCAATAGGCCTAGTATGTGAAATGTAAGGTCATTTCATTTTGAAGATTAGTGTGTGAAATGGCCTAATTACTTCAAATGATTGAGCGGAGAGGCCTCAGTCCCGGGGGGCAAGGTCTGACCAGCCCTCCATGTCCCTTTCGTCGAGTTGGTGTGACGAAGCGGAGGAGGTTTTTTCCCCCTGTAGGGGCACAACGCCTGAGGTTCTGAGTACTCCTGACGAAGTAGATGCCAATGGGATGTGAAGATCTGATATAAACCAGGTGCACCACTTGACTAATCAGAAGTGAACCATTGCAACGTGACATTGTTCGGATCGCTCTCTCGCAGGTGCTGCCATTACTCTGGCTGCTGCAGATTACTTGCATCGCATTCGACCGGAACTCACGAAGAAGGGTTCGAGTGTCGTGGATTACATCGAAGCTGCTGTCTGTGACGATTGCGCCTTCCCCGAGTCCAGCAGCATTCCGTCGGGGGTCCCTGCGACGGGCCACGTGCTGCTCTACACCTATGGCTCCCCACGAGCAGGGTCACCGTCCTCTGCTGACTACCTGCATGCACGGCTCGATGCTTCCTATCGGGTGACACGTACCTTGACATCGCAACCATGTGGGGCTCAAGAGTTCAACCGGAAAACACCGTAGTTTACACACCGTAGTTTCTCGAAAACACCCAACGTTGCGGTATTGATAGACATTTTGCTTCGTTGGGACATACAGAGACTCCACGGGTAAGAGGAGACCGACTGAGGAAGAACTCCTCTCCCACACTCTTCCACTCACACGACCTCGACTGCGCCAGGGAACGGCGACCCGGTTCCTTTGCTCATGATGTGCCAGCGACAGGAGTCGGATCGGCAGGCGTGCACGCCGGCGGAGGAGAATCCCTACCATGTGGGCCAGGAGCGAGAGAGAGAGAGTGGGTCCTGAGCGGGCTGCGCACGTGCTGCGGGCGCTCTTGGGTTTGTGTTTCGCGCTCACGCGATTTTTACAGACAAATTCAGTGAGTAATTCACAAGGCTTCAGCCAGCACAAAAGTTAGTATTCGTCGGGCATCAAGAACATTGGGAACGAAGCTCAGTAAGGCTTCCGTATCAAGGCAGCATCTACGTATCTGGAAAGCTTAAGCGCTCGGGCCCACAAAAGGGGGTTTGCAGTCAGGCTTCAGAGTAAAGCATTTGCAAATGAAGCCACATCACCCCTTCAGGAGGTGTACTACCCTCATGAGAACGGCACCCACTACATGTGCAATGGCTTAGGGGAAGACCCCAAGTGCGCAGATAGCCGGTCCATCGAGCACGGCTATACCTTTGAAGAGTTTGCCTATGGCTTCGGAAATATCCACACCGCCTACTATGGCATGGGACCTTGGGCGTATCTACCACCAACTCAACGGTGGTGCTGCTCTGATTGAGGCAGACGGTACAATAGGCAGCTAGTAGATCGGCAGCCTGGTACGATACATTTTTGTTCGTTCACAAAGAGACGAGGCAGACGGAACGGAGTAGCGTGGCTCGAAACATCCGTGAAACCACATATTAATTACCTATTATATAAGCCAATATAAATATAATGATATAATGTCGTCATTCTTTTATGTACATATCATACATATATATTTATACCAAAAAAATGAAGATGCATATCACACATATATATGCATATATTTATATACATACATCCATTATATATGTACATATGCTTTGCAACAAAAACACATAACAGCTGTGAACAGAAGTTCCGTCACTGACCAGCCTTTTGGACGCCCTTTTTGGACGCCTGGACGGCTCGCTCGAGTGACTGTGGTGCTTTTGTCCATCCCCGTTTCGAGACGCTCTCCGGTCCAACCGGCTTTTGAGCTCCGGTCCAACCACAACAGCTGGTTGCGATGAGCGAATCAAAGGGTGTGAAAGACAGAGACGGCCGTGACGTGGGTGCTTTGGAAGAATGGCTGTGAGTCAACCCCCAACGTCAACGTCTGTGGTAGTGGATTCTGTGCATTTTGGGAGTCATCATCAGTACGCCAGTTTCGCCGTAAGGAGCTAAAGTTTCGACTGGACCGTTGGACCCCCAATGGTGGCAAGTTGCAACAACAGCGTGTTCAGATTGTTTTGTGCAAACGATGTTGGCCTCCTCACTGTTTCCTGCAGCCCTGGTCATAATTCCCTTCTCATTGGGCCCAGGTCCATAGAACCATGTAAACAGCAGGTGTCAACAGCAGGTGTCAACAGCAGGTGTGGGGGGAACACGGTCCGCTCCGCCCTTCGCCGCTTCGTCGTTGGAGAGGAGTAGAGGTCGGGCTGAGAGAGAGCGAGGGAGGGGCTTTGGGCCGATTTGGGGCGTGGTTCTGGGTGTTTTTGGGATTCTTTTCGGGGTGGTGTTAAGGATGTGTTCAGGGAACTGCCCTGACATGTTGAATTCAATCAGGTGCTTCGAAGACCATCTCGCATGTTCCCACAAAACACCAGTACACATCTCTGGGCCTTATGGGCTTGCTCTTGAGACCGTAGTTTCTTAGGCTCAGAAGAATCCATGAGTACCATCGGCGGCTTGAGCGAAAAGCACCACCCGACCTTTCAAAACCAGAAGTCTTCTGACAATTTAGGTTTTGAAGACTCGGTACTCAGTTCTGAGCATCCCAGAGATCCTTGACTCAGTACTGAGTCGTACTTGCCGCTTCAATTGTGTGCGTACTGCAGAATGCCACGTCTGACCATACCGCTACCGCCACGAACCGTTCCCCACCGGTGTTTCTTCCACAGAAGTTTCTATCCATCCACAGCTGGGGCGAGCAGCGCCAGCTTCAGCGCCGCACCGCGCCGGCGACCATGCGCTCCCGTGGGGTCAGCGCCGGACATCATGTCCACTGATGACGTGGCTCCTGGGCTAGCAAGATCACTGCTGGGGGTGACAGTTGGTGAAACCGCCCGAAAAGGTCTCGGTCTCTCTGAAAGGAACAGCAGTGAAGAGCAGTCATACTGAATGGCTCTCTTCTTTATTTTTGTGGTTGTCCTTGTCATGGATCATGTCCTTCTGCTCATGGTGCCCATGGGATGGGAGAACGGCCTCGAATCTGACAGCTGACACGACTTTGCGGCTGTCTCATACAAGTTTATATCACGAAGGGAAGACAATAATACATACATCTTTGTGGCTGTCATTGGTATTTTCGGAAAGCATACTCACGAAACAACATGTTATTTTCCTGGCAATCAGGCGGCCAACTAGATGATTCATCAAGAAGGCAACCGAAGCACATCGTCTCCGAAGCACAACATACTTGGAAATTTACATGACAATGACTTGAGAGCAGTGAACATGCGGTGAACACCAAGAGAGCCGGAACATGCCAACTATGATGAAGGCGACGACACTCAGACAACGGCCTCATGAAGATCCTCATCCTCTTTAGGGGTTTTGAGCAAATGCCAAAGAAAGAACCACCAAAAACGAGTCTGCCACCCATGAGGCCGGGCCCTTTTCATCCAAACCCACCAACCCACCACCGAACCGGTTCAGCCGCCGCCGCCAGGAGTCCAAAGTTGTGGCGCTGCCGGAGCTGCGAGGTGAGTGGGAGGGGGGTTGGCGTCGGAGTCACCAAGCACCACAGAGTTGTTGAGGGATATTATACTGTGAATCCCAAAAACCGCAGCAAGCCCCCAAGCAAGAACGGACTCCCTTTTCAGCGGACACGTAACCCCCATTTGGAGTACAGGTTCCTAGCTTGGTCTTGGGTCGATCGATGCCGGTGGTATTCCAATTTCACACCGGCACAACTTCTAGCGGCAAAGCGAGACGATCAAGACATCGTGTTCTGTACATTGTCTTTCATGACCGTCTTCTGAGAGTGACCACATGCCGGTGTTGCAAATCATTCGGAGGAAGTCGGAACACATACGCTTAGTAAGAGGGTCGGCAACCATGTTGTCTCCGGCTACCCACCTCAGTGTCCCGCCAGACCGGCAGAGATCATCCTTGAGGATGGCCACATCGATTGCTGTTCGTTTGTCTTCCACTTGGGCATAGGTGCAAACCAGCTTGTTGATGCAATCGTAGAGTGAACGGGAATCAACCACGGACACGTATGGGATGGATGCCAAGTGTCTTTCCCAATCTGTTGTGGAGATTGGGGCTCCCATGAGTTCCAGCAGTAAATAACGGTGCCAATGGATTTGTCCGATTCCTTGTATCAGTGCCTGGCATTCAGCACTGAGGGTGTTCACTGTCTTTCTTTTCAACCTTGAGGATTTCCATGAGGTCACTGAGACCATGTGTGGTTGGCTCTCACTTTCCATGCGCTTGTCGTAGAACATGAGGACATAGCCACCTTGGCTGCTGCAGTTCAGCAGTTTGAGGAAGCAGTCACTGATGTTGGAGCGTTCCAACTCATGGCCTGGAAGCTGTTTGGTGAAGATCGTTTGTCCAGTCCAGGATTGTGAATCCCAGGTGATGGTGCTGTTACCCTTGGTCCACTCATCTTCCTTGGGGTTTCCAAGGTTGTTCACTGTTCGTCGACCTGGCTGAAGGTCGTGAAGGTCTGGACCTGGTGTAGCTCCTGGGTGGAACAGGGTTCTTCGTGGTGCTATGTGGTGCCTGATCCAGTGCTGGGGTTTTTCCTCCCAGTAGTCTGGACCATCTTTTTCGACTTGATCCTGGCTTCTGGCATTAGACCAGGATGCGTCGGTGGCAACACCGACTCTCAAGTGGCCTGGAGCAATGGGCATGATGCGGATGCCACTAGTAGCATGCTTTTTGGCCTCCTGGGTAATGGAGTTGGCCTCGATGATGTCCTTGATCCGTGGACGTGGAAATACTTGTTGTAGTAGTGCAACTCTTCCGGCAATGTCCGGTCTGCTCTCTTTGGCCAACCATGCGAGGGCTCCGACGCTTGCTCGTAGGCTGGACACTTCTTTGTCGTCACAAAAGGAGAATCTTCTCTTCTTTCTGCTCTTCTCGAGGTGGATCTCGAAGAGCTTTTCTTGGACATAGTTTTCTTGGTTCACCGTGATGCTATAGTCCTCGTGCTGGGTGAAGAGCTTGCCGGTGAACTTTCCAGTGCCGTACTGGAATTTGCCAAGCTTATACTTGGTTTTGATCTTGTTCATGGCCTCTTCGTGGTCGTGGTCCCCACCGTGAAGAAGGTCGTCAGTGGCGACAGCAATGATCCCACTGAGTTGTTCTTTTCCCGTTTCTAGATTGGTCTTGAGCTTGTAGTAGATGCACGGGTCGGCCAGGGACTGTTTGTACAGGAGGTCACCGACTAGGAACTTTCGAAGATGATTGTACCAGGCCAGTGGTCCATCTGTCAGGCCATAACATACTTTTTCCAGCTTGAGTAGCTGGCCAGGATTCATGCCTGGGATGCCTTCTCTTGGTTGGGTGGCATACAGAAGTCGTTCAATTGGATCTCCAGAGTGGAATGCCTGAGTGAAGTCCAGGAAACCCAATTTCCACTGAAAGCTGGATACTAGCTGGGCCACGGTGAGGGTGCCTTCTCTAGTCACCTGTGGAGTGGTCGCCTCAATGTTCTCAGCCCCCTCTTCACTGAAGCCTTTCATGACGTGGCGAGCCTTGGCCTTGCAGGGTTCATCAGTGTCCCAATCCAGAAGTATTTCTTCTTCTTTGGCCTTTTCCACTTCGTGTGGTTCCAGTGGCTTGGGTGTGAGGACCAGTCGACTTTCCATGTTTTTGTTCGGCATGGTTTGTCTGACTCGAGCGGATTCTTCGGGGCTGACAATGGTGTAAGCACCAATGTTGATGTTATTCTGGATCTCCTTGCCAATGGCATTCTTGAAGCATTTCTGGTTGCGGTGGTTAAGTTCTTGTAGTCGAACTTCTTTTCTTTGTCTTCCCTTGATCAGGTTTTCCACCTTCAGAAGGTAGGCTTCTAAGAATTCCAATCTTGATCTTTTGCTGGGATGTTCATCCAGCTCTTCTTCTTCATGTGATCTCTTTTCTCGTTCCTGTTCTGGTTCGGGTGGTTGTAGGACCTCTTCATCTCGTTGAGGTTCTCCTGGTCGTTCGTCATCAGGTTCTGGTTGGGGAGATTGTCCATCATCATCAGCCAAATTATCTTGTGGCCCTTTTTCTCGATAGCGTTTCAATGGTCTTGGGTAGCCCATGGGTTCTTGTAGTCCTGGTGGTAGTGCTGGTTCCATTGGAATGTTCTGGTCTGGAGTTTCATCTGGTTCGGTCGGAGTGTACTCCTCATTGTTGGCTTCATCGTCTAAGATCTCGGGGAGCGGCTGGTCGGACAGGTCCAGGAATCCTCGAATCGGTTCCGTGACAATGTCCTTCTTCAGCTGCACGAGATCTTCCAACCATCCAGATAGTGCCATGTTCTCTTCCAACGAGGCTCTTCGGATTCTCTCTGGGCTGGCTTTGACCAGTTGAGATTGGTATGATAACCAAATG